TTTGCAATTTCCGCCCGGGCAACATTTCGTTTCGTGCAAAATACTACGCTTAAAAATCGAAGTCAGATCACTTGTAGAAAATTTGTTTACAGGCAAACGAAAAAAATAATAATAAACACCATTGTAAAACCAATACATTCCTCTCGCTGCGCTCCGGACTTAAAACGATGATAACAACAACAAAAATAAACGAGCGCACGGGACCCCTCGATATTTTCCAAGCCGGCCCTGTAGATTATACGAATCACGTCTGATTTCAATGTAATTCTCGATAGCTTTTCGAAAAAATAATAATAATCTTTCGAATACACCGTTCGCAGTTTGAGTACCTTGTGTCGTATAACGCAAAAAAAAAAAAAAAAAATAAAAAAAATACTCGATCCCGTAGTGAAACGTTTGTTAATACACTGAACTAAAAAAGATACATCAGTATTTGTTTGCGTTTTCGGTACACGCACATTCGCGACGGCACCGTCCGATCCCGCGTGTCGTCCGACGGAATCGTTTCGTGTTTTGTAAGTGACGGCGTTCGTATTGAAACGGAATCGCGTTACGTTTTACGACTTGAGGTCAGCCGGCCGACCCCGAATGGTCGGGTTCAGAACTTAAGGTCGGTTTTTACCGCGTTCGCGTTCCGTATGGTTACCGTATACATTTTGGTTAATTGTTTTCTGTATACAGGAGACGCGCGACCTGGTATTTTTATTTTTATTTATTTATTTTTTTTTTTTTTTTCGTACAACAATAACGAAACACGCATCGCGATTTAGTTTTCCGAAATATTTTTTCGTCATCATATTGTAAACGATAATATAATATATTAATTTGATACGATGTTTTTATTATTTATTCATAACACGCGTACAATATATATATATATATATACACAATTATAGGGGTACACGTATATTGTTGACCGACATCAAAATAACGGATAAAAGTGTAGGTAAATTTAAAAAAAAAAAAAAAACAAACAAACGGGAGGTATTTGAAAAAAAAAAAAACAAAAATTATACGAAACGCATTTGCGATTGTAGGTTTTTTTATTTTTTTTTTTTTTTTTTGTTTTCGTTTCGTTAATATTACAATGGACTAAATATTACAATATTTTTTAATATAAATATCGCAGTGACATTGATTTATAAAACGGCGTTTTGGTACGTAATATATATATATTTTCGTTTTTATTTTTTTTTCGTTTTTTAATAGGTAAACGCAAAATATCGCGTTCGAGGCACTAAATAAATTGTACGGTTATATTTTACTCGGGTTATTGGCGAATACGTTAACACAGCGTATTATTATTATTTCGTATTTTGTATTTATTTTTTTTTTTTTTTCTAAGCAAAATTACTACTCTCTCATACGTAATTATGTAAATATATTTGCTAACCTCGATGAGTAATAACTTACCGAAATAGTTACGGAAACACAATTCACGACACAAAGTGCGCGGCGCTCATTTAATTAGACGCCCGTAATACAGTTCGTGTTATATACACTGTGCCCGCGCCGTTAAATTGTGTTATAATGATTCATTGTTATCGCCGTATTCCCGACGAGCCCGTCGCCGTCGCGCAGCGGCAGTTGGCCGTTTTCGCCTTCGGTCCCGACGGGAACGCGGCGAAACGCACGTGAAACGTTCCCGAAGCGAACACGCGCGCGCGCGCGCGACAAGGGGCGAGAAGGCACGGCCACGCGGATTTTCGCTCGGCCGAGGCTCCCCGGAAGTCCACGGAGTCCTCGTGTCAAGCCAAAATAGTAATTTTTTTTTTTTTTTTTTTCGCAGCCAATTATCTCGTCTCCGGAACCACTCTAGGTTCGTCGGGACCCCGTCGAACCGCGCGGTGTGTTTTTTCGTCCGGACGTGTTCTCATAACACAGCCCGCGATCCCGTTGAATCCCGAGCCGGCTTTGTTGCGTTACTGTCAGCACATCCATCCCGTAATGGAAAACTCACACTTTTATCGCGCAATTCAAATATACAATCGACATAACGGGGTTCGAGCCCTCGCCTGCAGAAGAAAAAACAAAAATCGCACTTGGGCGCTCGACGCCTATTCAAAAAAACACCGAAATGACGTTTCGAACGGGCGACTTCGTACGGTCGGCGTTCCCCACAACGGTTCTCTAGAATATTCGAATTGTTACGGGCGGAAAATATTACGCGTTTTGCGCGAACGTCACCGGACCGTTCAATCGGCGAAAACCGAAGCCTGACGACGAGTTGTTGTAATTGAGTAAAAAATATTTGAAGTGACTTGAAAAATAGACCGAATGCTCACGTTCCGTAATCAAATTTAAACGAAAATCGCAAAAAAAAAAAATCACGGCACTTCAAATTATGCGTTACCGAACCGCGCTCGGGACCGTCGTTCGTCAGCAACGGTTTATCGTCGCTGAAAAGATATAAATGAAATAACCTCATACATAAGATTCTAGCATACCTTCCCAGCATCTCACCCGCAACAGTGGCCGCTCCCAGTATCTCGCTCTCTTTTTTATTTTTACGCTGTATACGACAATTCTACCGGAAATCTTGCTCCGACGCACACGACGTAGACCGTTCTCCGAAAGGCAATTTTCTCGGGGCGGTACATTAAGGAAGTCATTTTTTCGATTTTCCCCAGGCGATCCCTCAGCAAATGTTGAAAACCGGGGAAAAAACGTGGCAAAACGGGGAAAACCGTAGAAAATCGGATCAATAGTAAACAAATATATACATACAATGCTTATTTAATTAGATTACCGTAATATGACATCCAATACACGTGTTGTTGACAGAGCACACACTATCGTGCCGAAGTCCGCTCACAATCGGTATTTCGTTAGCGACGGTTTATCGTTGCACACGGATGTACGTTAAATCCCCTTCCCGCATCCTACCGTGCCGACTTTCCGCCCGCGACTTTTTAACGTCTACGGTCATGGACCGCCGTGTAATCGTGTGCCCGTGGTACGCGACGAAATTGCGACCGGCGGCGCGACTTTCGATTAGGCAATTTACCTCGCGGTGGGCGGTGGCCGGGACGGGGCGATAGGTGGCGAACGTCGGGGAGGCAATCGAACTGCGTGTACTCGGAGAGCGTACCGTCCCTTCGCGCGGTACGTCCGCCCGGCTCCCGTACAACGTACACTGCGGTAGACACGTCCGCGACCCCCGGAACGGCGGACCCGAACGCCGCCGCCGCCGCCGTAACGCGACACATAATGCCGTGTCATACGACGGACGCCGATTACCAATATTAAATCGACGCGATTGTCTGTCGTTTTAACGCGCGGCAATCTATTTTCGCGCGCGGACAACCGTCGGCCGTCGGCCGTCCGGATTTCCAGCGCCGCCGCGGTCGATCGCAGGCCGGCCGCAAGACGTTTCCCGCCCTAAAGCGAACATTTCGACGCCCGGTATATATTTTGACGGTTGTCGATCTCGTTTCGCCGCCTCGGTTGCGATTAAACGCGCTGCGGCACCGCGCGCTGTTTTCACAGCCGCCGCGACAATAACGCCGCGGTGACGTTATTGCCGTTGCCGCACGCCCGTCGGCCCGACCCGAGGCGACGCGTCGTAATCGGTACGCGCGGGCAAAAGCTCGCCCGCGCGACGTACGACCGGCGTCCGCTTCCGGCGGCGTCCGGCCGTTTCGACCAGGAAAACCTTTCCGCGGATCGATCCGGTCCCCGCCTCCTTTTCCCGTACGCGCGCCCGTATGCCCGCGCGCGTACACACGCACACGCGCATTTTACGTCGCGGCTGTCGGCGGCGTCTCCGGGACACCGGGGTTAGTTATTAGTCGTAATGGCCAGTCACGTGTGAAGTCGACGATCATTACGTTGGCGCCGTCGTCGCCCCGGCCTCTCCGGCGCTGGTATTTTTTTATTTTTTTTTTTTTTTTGTCGTACACAAAATACATATATAGCGATACAATATAGCGAGAGGAGCCGTACCTATGCGTAATAATAATAATACGATATTTACTATATATTATTATTATTATTTCGCTTCGGTGGCGCAGTGGTGTGTGTGCGTGCGTGTGTGTGTGTGTGTGTATAGTGCGTACCGGGCGGCGAGAGAACGGCGAACGCCGGAGAGAGAGAGAAAGAGAGAGAAAAATAAATCGTTCGTCAAAGACAATCGGACCGCCGCCGCGCACGGAGTTCCTGAGCGGTCCCCGTGATTACAGGGCCGGACCGCTTGTGCGCGCACACACGAATTAAGTGGGACCGGAGACGGCGGCGACGGCGGGGCGGCCGCCGCTTAGCTACCGGTCTTCGGCGACCGTATACATAATACGATATTATTACGACGTGCGCGAGCATACACCCGACATCCGGTTCGCGGCAGCCGCCGCCGCCGCCGCCGTCGTATAGCGTGTGGCGGGCGGCCGCGGCGGCGCGTCCCCGTAATATTCGTCTCGTCTCCTTATCTGCGCGCGACGTTTTCACATCCTTTTCCCGCGGGTTTCCTCGCGACGCGACGCGTTCACACGGTCGTAAAGTAACGACGACGGCGACGACGCGTCCCCGACCCGTCCGCGGGGACCGCGGCGCGCGCGACGAAAACCCCGCGCGTTCGTTTCCGATACGGCCGCGTACGCGACGATTTCGATTGAAAACAGACGGACACGCCGTCGCGTCGTCTCCGCACAATAACGCGCCCTCGTATACGGCGACGCAAAACACTGATGGCGACGCTGCCGCGGTCGTATTTTATTTCCGGTTTCGCGCGCGCGCCGTCGTGTATAAGAACGTCTCTCGTCCCGCGGACAAATTGCCTGGAAACGGTACAGCCGTCCCGTTAATGATTTCGCCGAACAATGTACGCGCGTACGCGGGTTTAATGTACTCATCGCCGTAGACGCCGTACGTGTCTAGACGGGACGTCCGCCCCGAGGACCGGGATGCGCGGTCGGTCCGAACGGACCGAGAACGATAGGCCGATACGGATAGCTTACGGTGTGAGGGAGAGGACGCGAGGACGGTCGTTCGGCGAGCATTGTGCTCTACGACGAGCGCGGTAAAAACTCGGTTAAAACGTTAACAATCACGTATCCGTCGAGAATGAAACCGTCGACAAACCAAGCCGACCTTCTTCTTAATTCCGTCTTCCGAAAACGGAAGTTCGGCGACCCATTATTTGATGTCGGCAATAATCTCCGTCCAGAGCCCTCTGTTTCCTGCCGACCGAATGGCAGCTTCCAGCGGGATAGCCAGTGACGGTCTTGATCTGGTCCGTCCAATGCATTGGCGTTCTCCCGCGGTTCTTTTTCCATTCTATCTTACCGTCGATCACTAGTTTCTCTCGGCTCGGTCCGTTTCTTCTAATCCGTATGGTCAAAGAACCTCTGTCTTATTTTCACATTTAGCACGTACGGATAGTTGAGACGTCCGTCCTCATTCCGGTCCAAGAGATTCTCGACATCCGTCCGTAGGCCCGCGTGTCAAAAGCATTTTTACGCGCTTTACATATTCCACTTCAAGTGTCCGTGTCTCGGACCCGGTACTGATAAACCGTTACTAACAATAACGTGTTAAACGTTATTGTCGTGCGCGTCGGAAAAATATCAAAGGATATCTGGGAAATTCGCTTTTCGCGCAGTCGCTGGCACTCGCCGCGCATCACTACGCGCTGCAATAACGATGATGTTATCACTCGCGTCATGTAAGTATGTAAGTACGGGCGGAAAACTGCGGGCCTCGGCGACGTCGTAAACCGGCGTGAAATAATTACGTTATACCGCCGCCGCCGCCGCCGCCGCCGCCGCCGAACGAGACCCCCGCCATCGATTGCGACGTTAAAACAATAATATTATTATCGCGATGTTTATTACCGATCGACAGTGATTATAATCGGCCGCGTCACCAGACGATAATATTACGTTACCGCCGCCATGTGCAGGCGTCACTGTACAATCCGTACGGAATGTTCCGTACGGCTGTTGCCTGCGCCACACATCGTATCGACTGCGCGCGCTACCGTTTTGTCGAGCCCGCGAAACACACGCGCGAAAGTTGCACGCAGATTACGTATCCGTCGAGAAACACGCGAATCTCTGTTGACCAGGGGTGTTGCCAAAAGTCCGGGGAAAAATGTCATAATAACCGCCTCGGGTGTACCGAGATTTCTCTCTCGATATAAATGTGTTTATTTTTTTACTTTTTTTTTTTTTTTAACAATCGCAAATCGTTACGCCGACGATTCCGCCGTATTTCACTGACCGCTACGAGAAAACATCAGCGCGCGATTCTAGCCCCCGGTCGTGACGAGGGGATGGCGGTAAACGATTCCGGACTGGCTGGCCTCCATATAGAGCCGGATAAATTCAGACCGTTGAAAATCCAGGACTTTTTCTACACGTGTTATTTTCGCATTCGTTATGCATATCGTCGCTCGACGCCGCGTTTCTTGTGATCCGGTGGATCGGTCCATTGCACAGCAATCTTGTCGGGTGTTTTTATGACGACGGCCTTGTTTTTTTGTGTTATGATGTTTAATTGTCCAGGGAGGCCAAACATACTTTGCCCCACGCCTTGCCACCCCTTCCGAACGCCTGTGCACGCGCACGGGCACGAAAAACGTTACGCCGAAATGCTCCACAGTGGCGGTGTCCGCGGCTTTATACGGCACGACACAATTTCCAAACGCAATGTCTCCCTCGTCGGCCTAGAAATTCTAAATGCGCCATCGCTGATATAGCCGTGTAGTAAGCGTGTAATTCGACACCGTTTGTTATTATCAAAGGTATTTGTGTGTATTATCGAAAGGCGAACAGATGGCCGTGACAATAATAATATAAAAAACATATACCCGACATTAGCATAATCGTATACGGTACGCGCGGTATAAAAAAAGAAAATTAGAATATAATATTTTAGTTTCGGCTTTTTTCGTATATTTTATTTCGTCGGGTTTTTTTTTTTTTTCCGGAATTTTTTTCTCCTATTCCATACGTACCTGTGTATGTATATACGCCAGTACACGCGTTTATAATACACATTATTCTTTGTGCCCGTCGTCGTCGTCGTCGTCGTCGTTTCTCCGCGCGCTGTGCGTGCACGGCAATATCGCCGGAGAATTATCATCGCGCAAGACCAGTGGCTTTCGATAACGTATATAATCATAACGATAAAAAAAAATTAATGTTAAATCCGAACCGAATATTATCATACGCTGCGCTATAACCCTCTCTATAATATTATATCGTCTGCAGGCGGCAATCCGATCATTTATTACGGGATTTAAAAAGCGACAAGTCACGCGCATTGAATATTTCATATAATTAGTATATATACACGCGCGTTACCGACTGGTATACACGCCGAAAATCCTTTGATATATGCCAGCCGATATAATATCGAAACGATTTTTTATTTCTTACCGTTTTTTTCCCCCGTCTTGGTGTTTTTTTTTTTTCTGACACGTACATTATAACGCGCGCATAGGTACACGCGGTATTATTATATTTTATAATATACGCCGCCTCGCGATTATACGTATACATATATAGTTACCGATTTGATTCATTCCGATATTATATAGGTACGATTGTCGCCTTTTTAACGACCGCGACGATATGTGCTTATAATATTATTATTTGAATAAGCGCATTCCTTCGGACGCGTCTGCGGCACCGGTAAACTGGTCCGTCCACAGCATCCCTATCCCCCTCTCCCCCCCCCATGTCGTCGAACATATCACGCGTACACGTACAGACGCTATGGTCCATAACCCTGTATAAGTTCGCGGCGTACGTATAATATCGACATAACGCGTATATTTTACACAAAGAATAAGAATAAGAATAATAATAATAATAACATAATAATGTCTCTGGGAAAAGGCTCGGGTGGGCAGGTCGTAAAGTGGCGTAAAGTGGGATCTCTGCGGAGACCGGTTCTAGAGAATACTATCGTCGAGGAAAGAGGTCTCTTGGCAGACCGCGAGACCGCGAGACGGGAAGATAGGGTACAAATAAGACGTATAGGGAAAATGAGACGGAGATTCAGACCGGAAAGAACTCTTGGATAACTGGACGCGAATTTGTTGGCAGGCACGGTTTCAAGTCACGCGGAAGAAGTGCGGGCTCGCGTATAAGCAACGATCAGCTTTTAGGCGGAAAATTGTCCGAACGGTTGCGAGATACGTGCAGAAATACATTTTCGACCGCGTATTTTCAACGGGACGGACCGCGGTTACGATTCATTTCGAACCGTTCATTGCGTTCACCATTCTTATTTACAATTCTTCGTTATCAGACTATTCGAGTTCGTTATTTCATTATTATAACGGCAATCCAGGCCCAACGGTAGGAGAAGGGACAGCCAAGGCTCTAGCTCTAGGGCCCGCCTCCCCCCCAAAAAAAAACAACCAGGTACTTTATTTGAATTAAAAATAACAATGATTTTAAATCTAAAGTCTTTAATCGTTTTGATAATATAATATTAATTATCAATTGAATGTTAATCAAATAGTACTAATTATTACTCTGTATCATATTATTGTATTATGTGTTAAGAACAGTATACAATTTTCGCTTTTGAATACCTTATACCGCTATAAATCTCCTCTTCGTTGGGACGACGCTGGGTGTTAGTGGCGAGTTTAATATTTGACATTAGGAAGGAATAGTTTGTCTCCAGGGCCTCGTGATTTTCCTGAATCGATCGTGCGGCACATTCAATTACCCGTTGTTTTGATGTTTTAATCGCTACGGAGCCGGGTCAAAATTACGACGTTTTGTCTATTCTTCGATCGGGTGTTCGCTTAACGTCCGATTTATCTATACTACAGACCGTTTTATAAAACCCATAGTGAGTCAGCAGCACAAACTAAGATTCGGGTGCTGCGTTGTAGCTAGGCGCCGCGGACGATTTTTAACGAATCGTCATTCGTACGACATTAGAAAATCGATGTATTATATAGGTACAGCTGTAGTCGCGGTTATTAAGACCGGCGATAACATTACGACTATATTCCATATTATATTATACTGACCCAGATAAGGAACGTATACTAGTAATGTGTTCAATTTAGTCTATATTGTCCGAAACGGATATTCCCGACCGTTGCAATCATTTTTTATTAATATATTTTTTTTTCTTCAAATCTCATTCGCAAAACAATATTAATATTTTCAATCTTGTATACGAGATATTATAGGTCACGGGACTGAAAGCCGGTTTTTCGAGGAAAAATTCGTTTGTCACAAAAATAAATAACGCAATGTATTATTATTGATGGGTATGCTCATCGTAGGAAAAAAAAAACTACTGTCATAATAAATGGGAGGCGACGAATGAACTGAGAGAAATTTTTGCGGTGGTGTGCTACCGCCAATCTTCTTTGACCCCACTCCCGTTCCTAAAACCATGTACACTCGGCCGATGGCTACCGTATCGTAAAAAAAAAGAAATAAATATTAATAATAAAAACAAAACGATCGTGTACAGTGTTCGCAATATAATGGTTTGTGTACAATTTTGTACCTAATCTATTATAATGTGCAGTTGAACTCAACGTAAAACCTTGTAAAATAATTTATCACTATAACATATATCTTTGATCCGGAGGCTCGAGTCGGTTTCAAAAAAAAAAAAAAAAAAATTTAAGGGNAGGGGGGGGGGGGTAATCACGGAAATCATATAACTATGAAAAAACAAATTATAATAAAAAAAAAAAAATACTAAAAATTAACTTGGAATCGAAAATATAAGACATTCAATCCGACTTATCTATAAGAAAATCACTTGTTCCCGGAAGCTTGGGTCCTTGAACTGCAAAATACATAAATAATTATCCAATTCGCACTGATAGTTAAACCCATTACTTACCTTCCTAAAATTATTATATACACGTCTATTAATTATACAGTTCATACCGTAATGACATATCATAATGGGTATACAGGGCGTTCCATAGAGACCTGGCAAATGTAATAACTTTTGTTCAGTCCAATATTTTCAAGTTTTATTTGTTGTAATGTATAATTGCTGTACCTAGAGTATTGCGATATACATGTTATATTTTAAATATATATTTTTTTTTTAAACACAAATGTTACAAATATCTACCAATGATGAGCAGTGAATTTTCTTAAATTTTTCGAATAATACGGCAACTTAAACTATTTTTATTGATACTATTAATGGATATCAATCGATTCGTCTAAGAAAAATAATTTCGTAAATTTATTTGTAAATTCCAACCAACGTTTATAAAATTTTGTTTCAAATTAAATGTATAAAACGGTTCTTTTGAATTTTGTAAAAAAAA